GATTTACCATCAAATAAAAATCCTAATCTCAAACATATTCTGATTTTTCTTGTGTTTTATTGTGTTGTCAAGTATGAGGATTTTTAGTAGATCAGACACATTCTACTGTATTAGAGAAAAGAGAAGCTTTGTTTCTGTGCTTCTGCATCCTTTTCTTAGGTTTTCCTTCAAGGTATTTGTAATTAATTTAAAAAATTTTTTTTATTTCTTTGGCTTTAGTGGATTCCCGCTCAGGTAACTCAGCCATTTTGCACTACCCAGTAAACAAAATGGCTGAACAGTATCTTAAATGTTTGAACATGAGCTAGTCATACCATATCACGTAATATTCATGTGCAGTGTAACAAGCTCACCTTATAGGCGTGTAAAACATGAGGCGAATGAGGTGATTGTTTAAATTACAGCAGTAGATGCCTGCAGCTGAAACGGTTTTCTCATCTGAACGTGAACCTAGATATGCATTGTACTACAGGAAAACGGTGGTGGATCAGTGTGCAAAAAGCCCCCAAAAGAAACACACAGCTTCTTTAGCTCAAACACTGTCTGATCTCTCTCTTAGATACTGTGCTGTTCCATCTAGTTATTGGTTACTGAGAAATGTTCGGTTATTAATTTATTAAGAGAGTGCAGCTGTTCAGATCAGATGGTGAAGCAGGAAAATGCAGAACATGTTACTATAGCTGAATGCTGTGTAAAATACTAGTAATAAATCTAACTCTCATTTATGGATTTTACTACTGTGGGGCTAAATAAAAAATTACACACATAATGAAATCTGCTACAATTACAAAGCTTAAGTTTAAAACAATTATTATTTATTAAGCATTTTTTTGCTCTTTTTTAAAATTATTTTTGCTAATAATGGACTCAATTTTATTATGAAGTTCAAAGACCTATTAAACTTTGAAACCATGAAATCCAGGACATTTGATGCTCGTAAATGTACGAGACCCTCTTTATGGCTAGTATCCCCAAATATCTAATAATCCTTTCTAAAAGATGGCAACCACATACAGGTAAGTGTTTAACTGCCTAAACAGTGCATATATATGCAGTATTTAATAGTGAGAATATCTGTCTCATTTGTAACTGGCTCTGTGACTGGCCCTCAGATGCCAGACGGACAGATAATCCAGTACGAACATGACAGAACCATTGGTCAGGAGCAACAGGTGAGACAGGTTTAAGATCTAAAACATGCTGAAAGGACCTCTGTGTAGGATGGAGTGGGAGCTGTTTGGAGAAATCCAATAAAGTATTCACAAT